TAAACAGAGCTATTGTGGGTTTTTTCTTTGTGCGCGTATGTGTGTGTGTCAGCCAAATGATTTGTTCAAAGTTAATCTCAATTACAGAGCATATTGTTCATAATCCCCCGTGGTTCCAAAACAATAGCCGAGTGGATGTCTGCGTGAATGTATATTTACATACTTATATGTAAAATATGTTTGTGTGTATATATAATTTCACTGCTAAAGCGGTGACTCGCGTTGAGGCGATGAATATTTTGTGCGGGACTCTGCCTTTTAAGCAGTATTGTCCCCCGTCCTAACAAAAACACCACAGAAAGGCCTGGGTGGAGTAAGGGTGGCTCGGGCCCTGCAAGCAGGCAGCTTTAAGTTTAAATAACCCCGGGGCTGTGTACACTATGCAGAAACCCATTGAGAGACCCCCAAACCCCAGAAATCTGTCAGTGAATTTAAGCAGTCATTTAGCAGTGTGGGACATCATTTAGCAAGGCACTGGCTATCTGCTAGACCTGTTGGGCACTTTTCAGTTTTACTGACTTCAGAGGAAGCACTCATCGTTTTTCAGCTGTGGGTATTTAGCAAGGGATTCCTCCAGTAAAATCTTGTTTATGTTTTATGGCTGCTGGGACACTCCTGAGCAAAACCAGCAACTGCATGAAGTGTTTGCAGTGTAAATTTTTGCTCCGTAGTGAGTGCTCTAATCCTGTCACACTCCATGTGTAAAATTGTGGTGGTGTTAGCGAGTTACTGAAGTCTCCTCCTTGCTATTTATTGGATCGAGGAATACTCCTTGGCTAAGATTATATTATATTACATTGTATTATATTATTATATATGAATGTCTGTGTGTTTTTTCATGTGCTCTGTTTGCAGGTAGCTGTGGGTTTCCTGCCTCTGTGCAGTTTACTTCCTTCTACCCCTTGCTGGCTGTGCTGCAATTGTAAATTGGTGTGCTATTCCAAGAGTGGCTCTCTTGTCAGCCTGATAAGATCGTACCACCAGGAAGGCATAACATTATAATCCTGAGCACAATGTGATCCTGTTCATTTTAGCTCTTGTACTTGTCACAGGGACAAGGATAAAGGTTGTGCATGGGTGGAAGGTGAGGCTAGAAGTGAAGATAGAGATAAAACACTTAACTAAAAGAGAGAACTCCTGCATAGGGACATTTCAGTTTATAATCAAGGTGTAATCTCGAAATGAACTTGGAAAGCTGTCCTGAATAATACAGAATGTAAAGATAACAGAGAATACAGAATTTTGATATGGATATGTGATGGAGAAAAAAAAAATTGTCCTCTCTTTTTCCTTAGATTTGGTATCACATTTGAAAATACAGGCATACCAATACCATAGGCAAGAGCAGTAAAATTATTGTACAAGAACCAGGTCTGTATAACAAGAGTTTTCTGGTAATTCTAGACCTGCTACGTTTTACTCAAAGAAATGAGTGCTTACCAGATAAAACCTCTGAAAAGAGGCAGAATTTAAGACATGCCTTAGGGTATGGGGACTTCAGCCCCTTAAAAGAATCCCTGCAATTACCTAACCTGCCAACTTTCCAACAAGATAAATGGAAGCACTGTAGCTTGAAGGTGCCTTGGTTTGAATGAGATGCAGTAAGTAAGGTCTCTCTGTTCTTTACAGGCATCATAGATCTGATAGTACTTATAAAAGAAGAATAGAGTTGGTGCCCTGCTGACTAAATTGTCCTCTAGAGGAGTATTAGTTACAGAGCTTCTTTGTTAACTAGGCTGTATGCTTAAACCACTGTGAATTTCTCTTATTAGCAGGCTTTTTAATAGCTTTACGTATGGATATGCTAAGTAAATGCAAGTAAATCCATATAATTTACATATATGATGTGTACGTGTACAATATCTTCTCTACAAATAAATGTTTGTGATGTGGAAGTGGCAGGACTTCATTACTGTTCTGCTACGCTGAGGGAAAAGCAGGCATTAAAATACTGATAATAGGAGAACAGAAAGCCAACTTGTGCTCTTTCGGTCCAGGTGCTTCACATAAAGTCTTTCTTCTGCTGCTCTTTAATTTCCCAATTAGCTTTTGTGGATAACAGAGGTGTTTCTAAAGCCTTTGTGTGCTGGAAGTTTCCCGGTTGCTCACCTACTCATGCTTTCTGCCTTAAAAGACTAGGTAAGGCCATGAAGCACAGGTTAGGAAAAAACACACAATAATGGTTCACAAACTGTGCAGAGGGGCAGATGATTCTCATTTTAGCCCCCTGTAACACAAAGTAGAGGTTGTGGAGCGTTGCGCAGGCATCCGGATAGACAAGAGCCCTTCATGCCCCTAGGAGCAGCCTTATTATCGGCGTTTGCGATTGATCTGGTTGATTCTGTTGCCATGATAACACCCTCGGCAGATGAGTTCGATGAATTGGACGTGTCCCTGTGCGTTTCCTGGCCTCGAAAAGAAATCCTGCTGCTCGTGCTGCTGTGAGGCGCGCCGTGACTGGGGCCTGCCTGGCTGCTGCACCCGCCATTTCTGGGGGCAGGGTGGCGCAGCGTGGCACTTCAGGTTGGCTGGCATCACAGAAGCTTTCCTCTTCCCTTCTTTTCTGCTTTTATGAATGAGTTGCATCAGGTTCGTGAGGAAATCCCTTGAAGGCATGCACTTGAGGAAATGCCTGGGACTTGTCAGTCACGCCACCCCCACGGGAGATTAGCGGAACGAGGAGCCATGATTCGGCCTGTGGAGAAATGAGCCTCGTCCTGGCCCCGCGTGCTCCCACAGCCACACGCAGCAAGCCAGGGAGGTGCTGGGCTGAACGGGCAAGGTTTGCCTCAATCTCTGCAGAGACAATTTCCTCCCGGACACTACTAACTGCTTCATGGGCTTCCCTTATTTTGGTTTGCTGGTTTTTCAAGTACCTTGTGGCTTACTGCAGCAAGTGAACACTTTAATCCAAACACCATTTAAAAACTTTGTTATTCTGAACATAAAACCACGCGTTTCAGTATCTTTTATCAGTTGGGTGCCCGTCTATTTTTTTACGCAGAATTTGTGTTCGTTGTGAATGTGCTCTCTTCTGCGGCATTCGGCTTTTGGGGTTTCATTACATGCTTTTCAGCAGCGTTTGTTTCATCAGCACTTCCTGCAGCGTTTGTTACACGTTACGACAGCAGCGATTTGATTCCATTTAAAAGAATGCCGTGTGATGTATGGAGAAGCAGTAATTGCTTACCTGTTTGTCAGGTACCTTCTCCTGTGAAAATCCCTGGTGTTACTGTATGCAGCATCAAACGGCAGTGTTTACATTTCCTAAAGTTAATAGTTTCAGAAAAGAGACAATGAAAATGGTTTATTGCCAGCATCACAATTAAATTTCCATTTGTAGGGACTTGGAACTCTATTCTCAAGTGAATGCAGAGTTCACACGTAAATTAACTTCGAAAACTTCAATCTTTGTTTTTCATATGCCTAATGAAATACAAATACAATTTTGTGCTTGTCGGAAAAAGCAAAATGAAGCTGTGGTGAGAGCTGTGCCTGAAGTCTTGTGTCTAATTCACGTTTGGAAATACAGTCTGTGAGGTGTCCTGCATAGAGCTAGGTTGGGCCAGCTGCATTTAAGTACACCTTTACGCAAAGGGGGAATAGCACATAGCATTCTAGGTGGGTTTTTATGAATGCTCCTGGTGTTTAAACTGCTAATCCTACTATGTCCATGCCTTGGAAGACTGTCTATTAGGTTGCATAACTCCAAAAAATAACTTTATTTTTGTGATAAAGGTGAGATAGCACTAAGTTGTTGCTTCTTGAGCTCCTTGCCCAGGCAAAGCCCAGCTGTCTTTTCACTCCTCAAGTCTCTGGTCCCGTTGTCTCCAGTGGAACAACTTGCATGAGTCAGACAAATGAAATAACTATCAACAAAAGCAACACACTCTGTGTCATCTCAATTACTTGAAGCCCCAAAGGTCATTTCATGATTTGTTTTATCTGTGAAATAGCTCTCTGCCTTAATTCACTAATAGAAATAGCAGTGTGCTCCCTAACTTGTGCCTCACCAACAGCTGATGGAGGCGCAGCTATCTTTGTGCTTTTTTGTTTGCTTGAGATCTTTTTGTCATGCTCAGGAATTAACATTTTTCCTGAGAGTTAAGGGGCACATGCTTGCTTTGTCACAATGTTCTTGTTTCTTCTTATCTGATTTTACAATGATTTAAAAGCAAATTACTCCCACAGATCCAAAGAACAGTGTTAACTATAGCTTTAGGGAATGTGCCCAGCAACTTGTAGTTAGAATTGAGATGTGCTTTGACCACTGGAGGAAATTTCTCATTGAAAACATTGAAAATGCAACAGTTATGAACTGAAATGAAACAGCTGTTTCTCAGTGCACTCAAATAAAATTGTAGAGAAACTGTGAGCTTGGATGCTAGTCAAACTGGAAGTAGATATGATGGAAGTAGAGAAGCAGCCTTCCTTATTCCTAGGTGGCCAGTGGGTCCTGTGTTGCTGCACAGGGCTGGGCCTTGTTTTTGTCTCGTCTGCAAGGCAAAGGAACTGAACACGAGTATTAGGAAGGTTGCGCATTTTATACCCTTCTTCTGTCATTCTAGTGATGGTTTAAAGAGGGAAGTGAATAAGCTGTGATTCTAACGGGAGCAAACCCCAAAATGAAATACTGTGTGAAAGTGAAACTGATGTATCATTTTCATTAGCTTTAGTATGCTCAGGCAGAATTTGTGGGATTAATTTTGAAAGCTTAATCCAGATGGAAAAGGTTAAATTCAATGTTGAATGAATTTGGTTCCAATTCATTTGTTACCCTTGCTTGTTCTTTTTCTCAAAAGAATTAGAGATTAAACCGAGAATTGTATGTACTATCCTCATTTTCTACCATCATTTAACTACATGAACCAGTATTAAAGAAAACCTCTTAGTTATCTGCTGTAATAAGTAAACAAATGGACCTCATCACCATGCCAGTTCTCGTGTCCTGAGGCTCGTGTCTTAGTTCGTACTTAGGTTCTTTCTCTTTTTTTCCTCAGGATCTGTCTGGATCCATTGATGACTTGCCGACTGGAACTGAAGCAACGCTGAGCTCAGCTGTTAGCGCATCAGGCTCTACAAGCAGCCAAGGGGAGCAGAGCAACCCCGCACAGTCTCCATTCTCCCCTCATGCTTCTCCACATCTCTCTGGCATCCCTGGGGGCCCATCGCCTTCCCCTGTAGGCTCTCCTGTTGGAAGCAACCAGTCGAGGTCTGGTCCCATTTCTCCAGCAAGTATTCCAGGTAAGCTTGTTTCAACAAATAAAATCAGTACAAAGGTTTATAATTATATATGTTAAAGAAAAAATACTTTTAGATTGATAATTCATCAGTTTAGGAAAATCTTGCATTTTCAGGGTCTTTTTCTGAAAAAAAGAATGCATAAATAAAGCAGGGATAATTTCCGCTACCAAGCCCTCAGAGCTCTCAAAATTCTGAACGTGACTCCACATGTGTATTTGTTAAATGTCTTATTCATGGGCCAGTCCAAATAATTGATCCTAATTTTTGTGTTTGGTTCATTTATCATCCATCTGTCACATTCCTCTGTTACTTGCAGGGTCCCATTTTTATTTTTACTGTGTATTTTTGTTGTCTTCGGCTCTTGGAGTTGTATGGTGGCTTAAGACCCCTTAGTATGAGGCAGAGGTTTTCCAACCCTGTGTTAAGAAAATGTTATTTGGGGTAAAATTTGAATGCAATATTTCTTATGAGACATTAATTTATATTTGCAAAGGTCAACATTTTACTAGGAATTCAGCTCCACTAAAAGTAATGTAAACGATGGTGGCGTGTTTGCCACTTGCTCTTTTGTGCCATGTAGAGTTGACACAAGATCATTAACGTACATTCAGAAATTTGTGAAAAATTTTTAAGGTACCCAGAAGAAAAAAATGGCATGTTTGGTATTTAAGATGAGTTTGTTCCCTTTCTGATGCTCATTTTTTTATTGTTTTCTGATATTCTGAATGCTAAGAATAGAACAGTGCTAGCACTACCCTGGGGTGATATCAGTAGCTGACAAAAACACAAAAAATAAGCGTTGGAGCTCAGTTAAAAAACAAAAATAGTAATGTCTATTCATTATATGTGCTGTAGACCAGATGCAAGTTAAGATGTAGTGAGCAGTGTGTGTTTTGGTATTCAGTACAAAGGTATGCGAGTGAAATGTCCGTGCCTAACTATAAACAGAGGTCAAACTAGATAAGCAAAGGGGAGTAAGCTCAGCATGCGCATGAAGGTTGCATCCTAAATGAGTGTGTCAAGCCCTGATGCTGCACACATGCCCTGCAGTCATTTCGTTCCTCTCCAGCCACTTGGGCTGGCAGGATGTGCTCAGGTGGGGCAGGAACAGCAGGAAGAGCGATGGGACAGGAGCCCTGTGCATTACAGGAAGGGTGGTGACCCTGCATTCGCGGCACAGCTCCCACTGTGTGGCATCAAAGCCTGTCCCTGTTGTTGAGTGAAGTCAAATAGTCCACCTAGGAGGAAAGGTAATAGTTCCCACAGCCTGAACTAATCCTTGCACTTTACAGTCAGGACCCAGATTTGTTGGCTTTACAGGAAGCCTTTACTTGTGTTTGCAGACTGATGTTCTGATTTCTTGGGAAAATCTCGGCTTGATTAAATTTTGAATATCTCTGAACAGTCAGATTCAGGCAAATAAATTGATGGATATTTTAGCAGCCTGGTTGCTGAATACAGGGAGAGTGTTGTGAAGTTGAAAATAGCTTTATTGTAACCATGACAGATAAGGATGTGAGCAGGACAGTTTGTAGGGAAAAGTAATAACTTTTATCAAACCAGTTAATTCCTTTGGGGTAAAAATAGAAGGGCTTTGGGCTGAAAGGTCAGGGTTAGAGTCACTTCGCTTCAGCTGAGCCCAAAAGCTTGTTTTTGTGACTGGCCTAATGAAAAGTATTAGCTCTTCATACAGACCGTGTCACCATTTTGAATGCCAATTTTCTAGTCTGTTACAGTAACACAAAGCACCTCTTCCTCAGGAAGCGTTTTTATGAATGGCACTAAATCAAAATCGCCTGCTGCTGGTTCCCCAGCTTGGGCCAATTCCCGCTCTCTGTAGCTGTTTTGCTAAAGGTGAGCTCTCAGGTGAGAGCTAATGCATCGCTGTCTTCAGAAGAAAACCAGGCAGCTGCATTAGCTCTGCTGCTGCTGCTTCTCTCAAGCTACAGAATGAAATGAGTAAAACTGCTATTTAAAACCCCGTGACTAGTGGGACGCTGCTGGGTGCTCGGGTTTCCAAGCCATGTGAGCGACGCGGTGCTCATCCCTCTCCCCGTTCACCTAACTGCATTCCCACCATTGCGCTTCGTTACTGGGGTTTTGTGGCTTTTCCCATCTGCCATATTCATGAGGCACTAGAAAAAACTAATCCGGAGCTTGTTTGCATTTCTGGGGCTGTTGTAGCTGTTTTTAAACATACATTGTGTAGTCTAGCATCTCTCCTTCAATAATTTTGTTCGCTGCTATTTTCCTCTGCCTTCTCACCCTACCCTTGTTTGTTCTGACCTCATTCCTCTCCTATTACCTCCTGCGATGTTGTGCCACAGCTTCTCCATGTGACATAGATTGGCTCTTTCAATCATTCTCTCTCCAGCAAGTCATTGTAAAATGAGCAGCTGTTGTGTTGCTGATAGCTATGGCTGGGGAAAGCCAAAATGTTGCAGGGGGTTCTTGGTGGGAAGGCCGTTAAAATAAAGGTGTTGCTTTCCCAGGGTTTGCTGGAAGAGAAGCATCCTTTTCCCAATGCCTCCTTCGCTGCAACAAAACTGATGACTAATTTAACATCAAAAGGGCAGACAAACAGGCAGCCCCTTAATAAACCTCCCAAATGGCTGACTCGGTTCCACTGCCTGTTTAAGCCGCTTCCCCACCCCACTGCAAATCTGCCTTCCCGTATTGCTTTCTATCACACATTGTGAATTTCATGGGAAGGGACTGGCACAGGCAGCTCGGGCTTTGGCACATCCCTAGCTCAGTGGGCATTTCCTTCCTGTACTCTTTGAAATACTGGACAGATATTTCGTGTGGTAAGTGGCACACATATACAGCTTTTGTTTCCATGCACGTTACTGGAATAGATCGGGGAGATTAACCCCGAAGAGCAGAAAAAGCAACTTTGCCGTGTTTAGTTTTGAAAGAGAATTGTTAACCATTTTCTCTCAAAATTCTCTTTCAGACACATTTTTGTTACAGAACTGAAATCTTACTCTTGATTTTTAAAGATGTAAAATGGTATTCTGATTCCCTGTTAAGTGGATCGTTATTCTGCTTTGCCAGAATCCCCGGTCTCTTTATTTTGTAGCCATCTTTGTAATTAGGGTACATGTTCTTCCAAAAAATGAGATGCGATGCCCTGCACTGCTCTAGGTCTTGAACTGTGCCTGATTCAACCCTAAACCATTAGTGGAAGCTGACACAGCACATCATCAAAATGCACGGCTGTTGCCAGAAGATTTAGTAGATGTTAATTTCAATTTATTTTTTTTTAATGCCTCCTGCTCCAACCATTCCGGTTTACTAAGAAAGCAAAAATGTAAATAAGCTAAACTACACTTTCTCCCCCTCAAGCATCCCCAGTTTTGATCTCACTGGCCAAAGGCTTTTGTCAGCTCTTTCTCCCTTGTGGTGCAAGCAGCAAAAATTTTTAATATTGAGAGTTGTGTGGAAGATTGCTGATAGGCCAGGGATCCCTTAACCCATGATGGATGAGCAGATTTTGTATGAGTTAAGAGATTAGATTATTTTTAAACATCTGCAGCAATTTTTATTTATATTGAAAATCAGAATATGCTATGCTACTAATAAATAGCAAATGCTGTCTTTAGAAATATATAAAAGTATTTTCACATAGATCAGTATTTTGCCTTGCACTTTTATTACATTTACTTTCTGAACAAACAAGGTTATTTTCACTCTGCTAAGCGTCAACTGCACGATACTTCTTATTATTACAATTATATTGATGTCCTCTTGCACAAAGGAGCCTGAATGCAGCTGGAGTTACAGTTTTCGGGAAGAAATCCATGTGTGGCTGCTCTCACTTAGGAATGCTCCTGTCAGTCACCTTGATTTATGCTGACCAGTGGTGAGCACCCTCCTCTGATTAACAGTCCCGCAGGTTCTTAGTTCGGACACTTGCATGAGGCAGTGGATGTGTGCCGTTCAGCGACCCGCTCTGCTCTCTGCTTCCCTTTCCATCGTGGACAGAATTACAGTAGCACTCCAGGCAAAAAAAAAAAAGGCAAAAGGGGGATGGGGTGCCCAGAGGGGGCTGTACCAGGACTTCTTGCCTCAGTGTGCATGTTAGTCAATGTGTGGTGGATAGGCTGATGAAGTGAGTAGTGAGAGAGAGAATAAAAAATGAGTAATGGTTCATCTGTCATAGTCTTAAAGGACATTTTAAAGCAAAAATCAGAATAGGAACAATGCTTTATTTCATGCTGTATCAAAGGAGAAGCCTTATAATTGTCATGTTTCCAGAAATGGCTGCAGCAAGACAAGCCGATTAGACTGATCTTTGCTTTAAACAAGAATTTGAAAAAATCTTTTGCTTGGCATAGAGCTGTTCCACATGCTTGCTCCATTGACCACAGCTACGGGTGCATTATTCAGCATGGACCCGTCTCAAACATTGAGGGAGGGAAGACTACCGTATGAAAGTGAATTTGCAATGCTGTACTCTTCGTTGCAGTATTACAGATACCTTAACAGAGCTGCAAAACACAAGTGAGGGTTATATCCTTGTAAAATGGCTGTGGTCCCCCTGTCTAGGAAGATTATTTTAATACATCTATCAATATTTCCCCCTTGGCTTCTCCGGAGGCAAAAACCTTGCAACAGCTTGTTGCAAGGAAGATGCATGCTGTTCATTGGCATCAAGACCAGAAAAAAAAACAGGACACAAAATGCCATTGACGTAGCCATGTTCTTAATCACTACTAGTGCACAAAACATCTATTCAGCAGTTTTGCAAATCTAGAATGCTTACGAATGAAATACATGGATGTTTCACATAACAATCATTTAAAACCCTTTCTTTTGAAGAGTTTGAACAACACGTAGAGTTTTTCTTTATTTGAAGAGGAAGAAAAACAGGTAAGCTTTAAGCACTCTGTCTGGAGGCATCGATTCTAGGATACGGAGCATCTAACCTGCTGTGTTACCTATTAGAATTCAGCCTGGGTCACAACTGATTAACAACCTGTTGGCTCAGGGCATCA